GCAAGTGTAAAACACCCAAAGTTGCAGTGTAAAACACCAAAAGTTGCAGTGTAAAACACCAAAAGTTGCAGTGTAAAACACCCAAAGTTGCAGTGTAAAACACCAAAAGTTGCGGTGTAAAATTTTGTTCTTGTCGGCCACGGTAGTGTTCTTACCGGGTTGGCTGGAGGGAGTGGAACGTCCGATTGTTGGCGGGGAGGGGCAGGTTTCTTCTCTCCGCGGCAGATTCCCATGATGCCATAATACACCGTGCGGTCACACCGTCCACCCAGACCACAGTCCGTGTCCTGCCCGCACACCTGGCCCTAGAGGTCAGAAAAGAGAAGAAAAGCAGAAGGTTTTACTTGGCCTGTGATTTCTCAACGAGAGGCTGAGGTCCTAGCTATCCTGCCTAAGTAGCCTGGGCATCATCTTAGGGCTCCCATACTCCCTTCTTTATAGCAGCCCCGTTAAAAAAAACAAGGATGATGTCCAGACTACAGATCGAACTGCTGTTACTGTGAGGACAGTTGAATCAAAGCAATCCAAACAAGACAAGATCTTCGGCCATATCCAAAGGATGTCCCTAGCTTGAGAACGATATGTTGGAACTACATGTATATCTGTTCCGGACAAGTATTACTATACTTCACATGGTTTGCCTTGATTGTTGTAGACAGCTCATTGATATTGACAGCTCATTCAATTCTTTATTTAGATATCAAACATAACAGACAAACATGACATACAATGTTGCCTGAATGGCGTTGATATTTACAAGATAAAACGTCAAAACATTATATATTTACAACAACTATAAAAACAGTACAGTAGGTGTACAGCCCAGATATTTACAAGGTCCATTATCTTGTGCCAGACTCTATCTGTACAGTCCGGTTATAGAGTCTGATTGACTGGTGAAGGAAAGAGTTCTGTAGTCTTTTTGTTCTAGCGGGGGGGATAGAGATAGTGTTTTTGTTCCTGAGTGAACGACCGGTAGCTGTAGATCTGGAGAGAGGGACAAGGTCATGTAGGGGATGGTCTTCTCGTAGCATCTGTGTGAAGAGTTTGACGGCAGCATCTATCAGATTAGAATATAAACGTCGGAAAACTTACATAGATGCCAGCCGGCCTCCTTCCCTGTTTGCACACGCCGATTTGGTTCTCTCTCGACTCGCAGTAGCTGGTGCTGTCACAGTCCGCGTCTTTCATACAGAACTTCATCTAACAACAAAACAAACACAGTCAACAACTAGAAAGGTAACATTTGCAAAGCAAATGCATGATGTTTACCTTCGCATATGGTCTGCTCTATTAATTCTTACTTAAACACACACATATATATGACCAGATAGGAGTCTAAATCCCTCCTGATATAAAATTGCAACACGATGTAACCTAACACTAGTTACCATGGTGACAGACGTCTGGTTTGGGTCATGGATCTTTTGTGTTTGGAACGGAAGAAGAGGAACATAAAAGTAGCTTTAAGATGTCCTTAGAATTTCATTTTAGACACGCACAAGAATTACATATAGCTAAATTAAAACGTATGTGTGAATCCCAAACTCATATCATTAAAAGTTCCGTAGGAATCCTGATCTTGCAATGTAGAATTTTGACGTTAGAAAGTTAGATAGAGGACTTACCATTTCATATGTTGGTTTGGAGCCGAGCGCAACTTGAGGCTTCGGTGGCATGACGGGAAGGTTCGCCATCACTGCCGGCGGAAGTTGGGGAGACGTCACCGGTTTCTGTGGTTCCGTCGCCGGTCGTTGTTTACCCGTCATCGTGTTCTGTGTACTCGTCATCGGTTTCAGCCGCAACGTCGCCGGTTTTTGTGGAGGTGCTAGGGGTTTGGGTATGGCTGGTTTTGTTACCACTGTGGTGGGTTTCGCCGGTACGGCTGGATTTTGAGGTGCATTTTGTTGAGCTTGTTGGTTGTTGTTGGGTGGCGGGACTGGTTTTGTTGACTTCGGCGGCTCGGAACACTGCCCCCGCCCGCCGGTCAACGCCGCATCCCTAAAATCACACACGGACCCCGGCGCACAGTCGGCCTGCTTGTAACAGTCCTTTCCCTGGAAAAAATTCAAATGTTCGTTTGCTCAGGAAAATTCAAAGATATCTTCAAACGCATCAGCAGGAGTGTAAAATGCTAGCAAATATCTGATAAAAAATGTGAACAGCGCTTATGAGAGCGGTTTGAACGTGTAGATTCACTTCAGTGCCCACGTGTGGCTTTGTAACATGTTTGCCAGCGTGTCTGTACATGTATTGTAATGTCAGTGTGTATTTGTATTTGCTATGTATAAAATTGTAAAAATCAGTGTAATTCAGTTTGGTTGACTTGTGAAACTGGCTGCAAGGCTGATTTTATTAATAAAACTTGAAATTGAGATTCACCACGTGCAAAGAAATAACGGTTTGATGTTGGTTTCAGCACCAAGGACAGCCGCCATTACAATGCCGCAAAACGGCGATCCATAGTTCGCTGAAGAATACGTGCTCATAAACTCCACTAAATAATCAAATACATGACGTTCTTGTGTGATTTTACTTTTTTTTCATTCCTTGCACACCATTGGTGAAATAATTGTGGTATCAAATAGGCTGATTTCCTTTTGCTACAGTCTATGTTGCTATTTGATTGGATTTTACGACAGTTAGTCGTACTTACCACACACATCCCGTTGTCGTCATTTGGCGGCTTGGCACAGAACTCCCAAGGAACACAGTGGTCGTCAGACTTACAGTGGCTCAAACTGCCTACAAGAGCGGTCTGAAAATACATATCCAATGGTAGTTAGACACCATGAAATATAGGTAGATATAAAGTCTGAAAACATATCTAATGCTAGTTAGACACCATGAAATATAGGTAGATATAAAGTCTGAAAACATATCTAATGGTAGTTAGACACCATGAAATAGTATAGGTAGATATAAAGTCTGAAAACATATCTAATGGTAGTTAGACACCATGAAATATAGGTAGATTATAAAGATAGAGAGTTCTTCCGTAGTGCATTTTCATTCTTATGATTTGATTAGCAAACTATATCTGAACTAGGGGACCAAACCCACACCATTTGTTTCTGACACGAAAATCTACCTGCCACCCAAAAATCAAGACCATAGCATGTCCAGGTCAAAAAATTATTTAAAAAATGGAAGTTCTGCTGCAGCACCAAGATCAGCCACTAGGAGGCCCACATTTGACCTTGATCTTTGACTTTGTAAGATCTACCCAGATACCAAATGTTTTCATAAACCCTAAAGGACTTCCTAAGTTATATTGACCACAAATGTGCGGAAACGCAGACTAACACAAACTCACACACACACAGATAGACACAGCAAAACAGTCAATCCAGAAACAATACCCGGTCCATTTTTCATGGAGGTAAATACCCGAGGGAACAATGCCATTAGATACATACACTCCTGCTAATCAGCACATCTTGCTTTACATACGGGACATGCCCTATGAAACCGTTAAAGAGTCTCGCGAGAGTTGGGCAATTTGATTGGCGACGCGGTCGATTGCACTGACGGCGGCCATCTTGTTTTCTGGAATTTCTAAACATCGGCATTTTTATGACACCTTTGGAGAATCCCCTAGCAATTATGCAACTCTGACAACGTTATAGATTGGTGGGAAGATACATTTTGGATCATTGTTTATTGCATGTAATTCGATTAGTTGAAAAAATAGCGCACAGGAAATAATGAGTAGTACAATTTAAATCGATGGTTTATTTTTGAGATCATTATTTTTTGCTCTAAAGCAGTGTCCAAAGAGTCAATCTTTCCACGAATAGGCACTTTTCCAGCGTCTATTGCTTCGAATTCGTTTTCATTTTAGTGTAGGGATAGAAAATTGCACCGTGTAGTAGTTGTATAGAATTCTACCACACATTTTACAGTGTATATTGACTCTGCTAAAGATGTTTTGTTGCTAGCCGCTCAATGAATTTTCTTTCATCTGTATCTGTATCTGTATCGCCGGTATAACCGTCTTTCGGCGTAATACACCAGCTACCAGTTCACGAACAGTTTCTTGTTATATAGAATCCAGTCGCAATCTTTGTCCTTCATTTCAGTACAAAAGTGGAATTTTTGGTTTGATCGTTCTTTCTTATGAGATCTAGGTATGATGACCCCATGTTGTACTTTTGTTCTAAACGTACTATCGAATTTTGTAAACTTCAAGTTTTTCCTATCAATTTTATTCGTCCAATTTTCGTTATTTTTTCTACTATCAATATAACCCCTTGAGGCTATACGCAAATCTTGGTACATTATTAGATTATATATTCAGTTAATTTTCTCTTTATCAATATGCAAATAACAATCAGAAATAGCATATTCTATGTCCATTGTCAACGCTCAAGAGAATGTAGAATGTGTGAACTATATATCTATTACGATCATAGAAAATTTCAGTATTTGACACAAACCACAAACACATAATCATCCAGATCCATTTCATTTTAGGAAATTTAGGAGTATCCTGTATAGCAAATTCAAGAAGAAAACACTATTTCCCTATGATGTAACAATGACTAGTATGTATGTCACAATTACACTACGTTCCGGAATGTATTGTAAACAGAAAAAAGTAGCTTAAGTGCACTATGAACTATGAAACACCTTTAGTGCACTATGCACCAAGTAACATCTAGTGTCAGTGCACAGTAAACCAGTCAGAATTGCCCTGATGAAGATGACAGAAGGTCATCGAAACGTCGGCTTGAAAAATAAATGGTTGTGATAGAAAGAACTTTGCTATTCAGTCGTTTATCAACCTGATGAAATTATTTACGGAGTAAATATATACGGAATATGACAGAGTAGATAGACGTTAGCATTGAAAGCAAGCCTCCATCCCTATTTAGAGCAAGATGAATTACTACGCGTCCTTAGCCGTTTCTGTAGCCAGACATGACCATCTATCTTATAGCAATAACCGTCTCACAGCCGTCTCATAACTGAACCGTTAAAACCTACATCACGTATATCGTCAACCAGTTTTACATCAATGTAATGAAGAGATCTAAAAGTTAATTTTTCAAGGCTTTTCACTGCGCGTCCTTAGCCGTTACTGTAGCCAGACATGACTATCTATCTTATAGCAATAACCGTCTCACAGCCGTCTCATAACTGAACCGTGAAAACCTACATCACGTATATCGTCAACCAGTTTCACATCAATGTAATGAAGAGATCTAAAAGTTAATTTTTCAAGGCTTTTAACTGCGCGTCCTTAGCCGTTTCTGTAGCGCCGACATGACCATCTATCTTATAGTAATAACCGTCTCACAGCCGTCTCATAACTGAACCGTTAAAACCTACATCACGTATATCTTCAACCATCGTAGTTTTACATTACAGTAATGAATTCGAAGTTAATTTTTCAAGGCTTTTAGCGGTGACTGTAAAATAGTGCTTTGATGGACATAGCTGCATCTGTTCATGCCCTGGGCTTGGTCATAGGGGCTTCGGCAGCGATCTTGGATTCTGTCCCAAAACGCCAAATTGATTTGAAGCTAAATCAAAGAGAAACGTTATCATTCCACTCACCGTATGTTGTACACCGGCTAGGAGGAGGAAAAATGCAGCACACAACGCAAAACTAGACTTCGTAGCCATCGTTCCCAGCGTCTTGTACCACCAGCTCTTTCCCAGGATACTGCGAACGACGCCCCCTCTGGAAATTCCGGGTCGTCCGCACAAAATGAAATTAATCCGCCCGCCTTCATAACTATCGACCTCCCAGGCCCCAATCCATTTAATTAAACCCGGGGAAATAGAATTAACCAGGGGACATGATATGAGACTGTCGCATTTGCGTGATTGCTTAGGGTTTGCTGCGACGGTTATGACGTCACGAGGTACCGGAATTGGGTTAGGGAGGACATGTTATGAAGTAAGTAATGATACGGAATCAAACATTGCGTCAAATTAGGCCACGCCGACTTAATTTTATAGATGACATCCCCTGAAGACCCACAAACTAGTGTGCGCGGGCGAATAAAAAATCCCGGCTAAAAATAAAAACGCTACTAAACCACAGGAATACAAAGCTGGTATTGTGAATTTGCGGCAGTACATAGCGACGTATGCGACAAGCCGGCACATGCTGGCTTTTTGCGGATTTTGTAAATCGGCACTGTACGTATGTACTGAGTTCTTGAGTCGTGGAGCTTCGGTAGCCTGGGTGCCGTCTTGTCCGTATTGTCGCAAACTCCCATGGAGTGCCCAGGCCTTGAGCCAGGCCAGACGTGATCTTTTATTATTATTTTTTTCTAGAACAGGCGGAAATCAATGCGCGCGTAGATGTCATCCATAAAATTAAGACGATGTGGCCTATGTAATGAATTCGGAATCAAACATTGCGTCAAATTACTGTAGATATCTGCCGTTTGATATATATTAACTCAATTCTAATGTCACAATTCTATATCCCTAATAGCGGTTGTGTCTGTGTCCTTGTAACGCTATTAGTCATGATTTTGTTTAAACTTTAAATTTAAAGTTACAATTTTGAGAAGGAACCGCAGAGAAAAGCAACTTTTCCAGACCAATGCGGTCACAAACGCGATTACATTCAATATGAAAAAAAAACTATCTCATTGCATGCCGGGAAATTAGATCGCCTTGACATTGATTTGATACATTAATGCTTTACCCCGCATATCATTATCAGATTTAGATCCGTTAGACGGGAAAAGATGTAATTATTGGTATTGGATGCGGACGAGACAATCCATTTTTTGAAGGGGGAGACCTTTGTCCATTTCATTTCAACGTTAAAAGTGCTAGATGAGAGAATCCATTTAAATTATATTGTACTAAGGCCACAGCAAGTAAATTTTATGGATGACATCCTCCGCAGACTCCAAAATCTAATGCGAGCGAGCGAAAAAAAAACAAGACGGGCCGAAAAAACACAAGGTTCCTACATTTTAAAATTTTGACTCAATCATTGCACAAATGGTTTTGATTCAGTGGGAACATCACATATCACTGCATCAAAGTAAGAAACAAAACATTAAGAGCCTTTTCTTGTCTCCTCTCTGCATAGTTATCGATCTGTCATCCACCTTCCGGCATGGCAACAGACATCTTTGCCCATTTTCGGCATGTTGAGCACTGTCAGAAGGCAACAAAATTTCTTGTTTTTTTTTTCAAAATTAGGCGAAAATTAATGCGCGCGCTGATGTCATCCATAAAAATTACTTGTTGTGGCCTAACCACGGAAAACGTGATTAAGTCGTGATAGCGTAGGGTTCAGTCTTGAGGGTAGGTTGGCCTTTTGAACTTTCACATCGAAGTCATGCTAGAACACAGAAGAGTACGCTACCAGAAAACGCTAGACTGAAAAATTATAATTATCGTTGAAATACTTCTAGACACCTCTCTATAGTGCCTCTACCAGACCTTTCTACATGCTAGAAATCTAGGAGAAATTTGATAGATAAGGAAAGGGGGGATATAGGATATCCCCTATGATAGCACCCCCTATATTATAGGGGGTACTGTCATACTGTCGTACTGTCATACTTTCTTTTTCTTAAAGTTTTTGCGATGTTTGAAAGATATACACGTAGTTGCAACCATACAAGAGCTCTTCATCCTGATTAAGTTGACAGGTATAATGCAGTTCTAATCCCTAACCTATCCAAGTAGAATACCACTAGAATCCTTTAATACATTTCCCCAGGCGCGTCATTCTTTCCCCGTTGTTCCACCGGCGACATCTTTATCTTATGAGTCCATTTAATTGATAAGCTTAAGGCGGGGATTACAAAATTAACTTTTCTCAACTCAGGCAGAAAGTTATTTTTGACACGGACGTTCTTATGTAATGCCCCTGTTTCTGACAAGGAAGAATGTAGTATATTCTACGCTGTATAGGTTCACACCAAAAGCCGCTCCAATTCGATGCTACGAAACATATAAGACACGACTCTCTTACTTAACTTGAGATATTATTAATACTGTTGGATTGGATTCGACTTATGGGGAACTGGGTTCTAATATTCAGTAGCCAAGGCTAACGTCAATATACTAGTAATGTGTTGATATAGCGAGGAGGCTGGTTGGCTTACTGTAGTTCTTGTTGGATCCGCTAGCAGACGTTGCTAGGAAACATCTGCCATGATTCTGGAAGGTTGTAGATTCTGAGCCTATTGCAGAGGAAACACGATAACCAAGGAACCCTGACATCTGCAGAGTAGGTCGGACTGTTGGCAGGCATATCCAATTGAAATATTTGTTTGACAATCCAACATTTAATTCGCCGTGTTAACTTTATATTATCTTGTACCTATTTTGAGTTAATTTGTTTGCTTGTCCCTTAATACATTGCAAGTTAAATGTAAATGTAATAAATGTATGTAAATAAGAGATCGTAAAATTAATAGGATTTGGGAGAGTCCACTAGACAAACCTTCAGGTTTCTTGGGCTCTCCAGCATATATTTGCTTGTATATAATTTCTTTTTATACTGTTACTTTTTTATGTGCAAAATGACAATAAACAAACAATAAACAATAAACATGCCGAATTACATGTGTAAGACCTTTCTCATAATTGGTTGCGTAGGTTTGCGCCCTCATATTATTTTCTTCAGATGTGTTTCTCTGCCTTTCACCCATAGGTACTGAATGCATGACGTGTACTTTGATTCAACATTGGTAGATTCAATATTGAGTTGCCGAATCATTCGTTTAATCTAAAAATACACACAATCCAAAAGACCAGAAGGTTTCTTTCTAGTATCTAGACATGCAAATGACCAAGAACTTGAAAACGTCACCGATACAATCATAGAAACCGTACGCGGCAGCACGAAAAGCAAGCAAGTTTCTCTCGCGACTTTCTTTCATTTCATTTGTCTAAGTCAAAATCCCGCCCTTCAAGTCAGTCTGAAATTTCGCACCTGCAGATTCAAAAGGTCCGCTGACGTGTCACGATTGTGATGCTTTGTTTACTCCCAACCGATGACGTCAGAAGGCAAAGAAGCTATGCCAATAGAGACTAGAAAGGCCAACATTTGCTCAAGAGCAAATACAGCACATTTCACCCTTTCTTCTTCCCCATTCCAGGTTTTCCCATTCACCATGCAATCCATACCACCCTGTATTTGCTTGGAGATTATCTTTCCATAGAACCCTGAATCTGTTTGATTATCATAAGGTTGATCACATTATCCCAGCAGCCAATCAGCAAGGAGAAACTACTCCCACCTGATGAGAAAGTAGGTCATGTGTGCCAAAAAGCTCATATCCAAAAAGGGGGGGGGGGAGGCTAAGGGTACATGTATTTGATCACTTTTCCTCCATACCAAATTTCAGGTCACTCAACCCAAAAATGAAGAAATTGAATCCATTCAAGAAAATGGCAGGAGGAGAAGGAGGAGAAGAAGAAACATGAGGAAAAAAACAATACATTTCACCCACACTATAGTATGAGTGAAATCATAAAAAATAGGACAAAGAACGTAGTGAACAAATATCGGGTGGAAATTAGGACCCGAGTTCTTTTCTGTAGTCACGGCACGGGGATATGTAAGGATTAAACCTTCTAGTTCCGAAGAATGCGTTATTGGAAACTTGGCAAATAGACTTATTACACTACATGTTAAGTCCAGTCTTTTAAACGCTCCTACTCTGAAGTCTTGTTGAAAAGAAGGTACCGCGAAAGAAGAACAAAGAAGAATAGGTTGAAAGGAAAATTGCCCCATGGTTTTCTTGAACGTTAATATGTAGATTAAAACATTCGTGAAAAGTATTTTACTAGTAATATATACCTCTAACGTTATGTTCCTTACTGCTACGGGTCCACATCACTTTTACATTTACAAAACTGTCTTTGATGTACTAGTAGTTCAAAACTTCATTTACTGTATGGTTAGATTATCGTAATTGATAGATCACCAACTTAATTGTCTTGTTTATACTCGTTTTCCTTTTACCCACTTAGTAATTATACATGTATTTTACAAGTAATTATACATGTATTTTATATTGTGTCTTACCCTCGTTTTATGTTTTTGAGTAGAAGGTGTCATATAAGCAATCTGTGCTTTTTGCCTAATACTCCATAAATATATGTGAATAAAAAAGTATTCAACTCACGTTGGCAGTGTAAGAAAGAGCAATATTATCTGCTCTGTTACAGACGCGACAATATGCTTCACGCATCATGTGTGACATTTTGAGCATCATTAATTTCCACGTGCAAGAAATTCTAATCAAAAACGGCGTATTTCCCTCTCAGGAGGGGATATTACGGCGAGATAATATTGGTTGGGATATCATGCGAAATTTGTTATGTTGTTTGTAATGATAATTTTTACACAGTATGTCAGGCTGTTTATTGAATGAATGAAAGAAGACCTTTATTGTACGCAAATACGCACTGGGTTCAGTACAGGTCACAGAAAAGACATCACAGTTTGCAATGAATATATACAATGTACAAGCTAGTGCTAATTCTATTATTGTGAATGTATAGCGTATAGAGGCCCCATCGTCTGGAACAAGTTACGCCAACTGCTACAAAACTGACAGTCAATTCCTGTTTTAAAAAAAAAACTTCTTACAAACTTTTTCTTACAAAACCCCAGTACCACTACAATCTGATTTGTTTGTTATATTTCAGTCCATACCATGGTATGGATGAAATATATTGTGTTCTCTGATGTTTCTTCT